AGAAAAAAATTGATGCTAGGTGCTGGTGGCTCACATCTGTATCCTAGCTACTCAGGAGGCTGAGCTCTGAGGATTGCAGTTCAAAGCCAGCCTAGACAGGAAAGTCTATTAGACTCTTATCTCTAATTAATCACAGAAAAAGCTGGAAGTGGCACTGTGGCTCGAGTGGTAGAGCATTAGCGTTGAGCTAAAGGAACTCAGGGACAGCATCTAGCCCCAGAGTTCAAACTCCAGGACTGGGAAAAAATTGTGAGCAGTACCAGTGACTTATGCCTGTAATCCTAGTTACTCAAAGGTCTAAAGATTGCAGTTCAAAGCCAACCTGGAAAGTAAAGTCCATGAGATTCTCCCCAACTAACTACCAAAACACTGAAAAGAGAGCTGTGGCTCAAGTGGTAGAGCTTAAGCACAAAATCTAAGGGAGCTAGGTATCGGTGGCTCATGCCTGTAATCCTAGCTACTCAGAAGGCTGAGATCTGAGGATTGGGGTTCAAAGCTAGCTAACACAGGAAAGATTGTGAGACTCTTATCTCCAATTAACCACCAGAAAACTGGAAGTGGTACTGTGGTAGAGTGCTCACCTTGAGATGAGGAGTTGAAGAAAGAGCCCAGGCCCGGAGCCCAAGTCCCATCTCACACACACACACACACACACACACACACACACACACACACACACACATACACACACACTAAGGGATAGCACCCTGATGCAGAATTCAAGCTCAAGCACTGGCGCACACACACACACACACACACACACACACACACACACACACACACACACACGAAGGAAGGGAAGGGGTGGGATTCAATTGGTAGTGAGGAATACCTGTGGTCCTAAGTACTTGGTAGCCTCTGGCTGTCCAATAAAGACTCCCAATTTGCCCTTTCAAAATGTGGCTTCTCTGTTTCTCAAGACTGAGTTCTGTTACAAAAGTCTGAGGCCAGTGCAGAAAAAATTAGTATGAGGGCTGAGAATTTGGCTTAGTGATAGACTGCTTGCCTAGCATGAATGAAGCCCTGGGTTCGATTCCTCAGCACCACATAAACAGAAAAGGCCGGAAGTGGCGCTGTGGCTCAAGTGGTAGAGCGCTATTCTTGAGCTGAAGAGCTGAGGGACAGTGCCCAGACCCAGAGTTCAGGCCCCACGACCAGACCCCCTGCCCCCAAGTAGCGTGAAACCCTGGCTAAAAAACTAAAAGCAAAAAACTAGGGGCATGTCTCCGGTGTTAAGAGTGCTTGCTAACAAAGATGAGACCCTAGATTCAATTTCCATTACAGAAAGAAGAAGAGAAGGAACAAAAAAAGGAAAGGGAAGGAAGGAAGGAAAAGAAAGAAGAAAGGAAGATAAAGTTTGCATTTCATAAGGCTATTTAGAGGATTTAAATAAATGAAGTAATCCATACAAAGCATTTAGCAAGATGCCTGGTAGCTTAACAAGCAATGTAGGCATTTTCCACCAATTTATTGTGTGACTTTGGACACACTGCTTGCTGTCTTTGGGCTTCAGCCTTCATCTGCACAGTAATCTCAGGGAAGTCTGACAGTTGGCCCTAAGAGGACATCTATAGTATGGGATTCTCTAGTGAGCTGAAAACCAGTTTCTGCTTGGCAGAGGCCTGAGAACCAGCCCTGTAGCACACTCTCCTTCCCACACACCTTCTCCTGAGTTGGCAGCAGCTCGTGGTGAGAAGCTTGAACTGTGATTGCTACCCACTTCAGCTCTTTACCACCTCTCTCATTCCAGCCTGACAAAGACCCCATGCTGCCCTGCTCTGCTTTAGAAAAATGGTACCAGTAACCACCAACTTGGAATACAAGTCTCCAGAGTGCCCAAGGCAGAGGCTGCCTTGGCCCTTACTTAACACTGCCCCAGAGCAGTCCGAATAATTGAGGAAGGATGGGTGTCATTGTCTGAAGATACTTCTACCCTCTGGTGGTAATGGGAGGAAGCTTGTAAAGGATGCCTTTATCCACTAATAACCTGCAAGGGGCCCCAGGGCTGCTTCTCCCTGATCTCCTGGGAGAAGGGATCTGACACTCTCTGTCCCCTGAAAGGCCATGGTGACTTTGACCCAAGATCTCCTGAGTTTTGACTCCTTCTAGCCACTCTCTGAGAAATTTTCCCTACTTTTCTATCCTCCTGAGGATATCCTACTTTATCCCTAGAAATGTTTAAGACAGAACAGAATGACTCAAAATTTAGTTATGAAAGAGAGAAATAATTCGTGCTGTTCAAGGCACCACTCAGTGCTGGCAATGACTGTGTGGCCTTGGCGGGATGCCATACATCTTGGAGCCAGAGGTGCTCCATCTGTAAAATGGGGAGAATCATGGCTGCTTGAAAAGATATAGCAAAGCAAAAAAGATAACAAACCGCCACATGACCTGGCCCAGTGTGAGATGCCATCAACACATCATAGGTCATTCTCCATCCACAATCTCGCCCATTCCTGTACTCTAACACAGGGTATCCACAGACAACACAATTTCAGAAGAGAATGATAGTTCAGAGCATAAACCCAATATTACAAAATAATAATAATAATTGAGTCATGATTTAGCAGCTTGCTAGCTATACACCTTAGGCAAGGGAAGTCACTTACATTCTCAGAGCCCTGATCTTGTCCCAGTAATGCACACAATAATAAAACTTTGTCCCTGAGGAAGGGGTGTCCTAAAAGGAAATGGAGTAATACATGAAAGCTCTTGGTACAGTGGGCTCAACATATAGAATAACTGTGTTGTTGAGCCGATGATAGTGGCTTCCATCACTATTAACATCCCTCACAGAGCTGTCTTAGTTATTATCAATTTTCCAACAAATGGTCACATCTGAGATCACTGAAAGCTCTAAGGGGGAGATAGGGCTCCTGTTTTTATTGTTTTCACAGATTGGGATGGGAAGCTTACCAGGAGAAAGGGACTTGCTAGGCTTTGGCTAATCAGCATTGGATCCAGACTCAGTATCCCTGCCTTTTAGCCTCCAGCTGTGGTCTATAAGTGGGAAGGAAAAAGTCCCAGGGATTTTAGGCATGGTGACCCTTGTATTTGAGCTGCTGCTGAGTGAGGACCCCCCTTCGCTGCTTTCCCAGTTCCCTGTGTGACCCAAGTCTGGGCAGGAATTGTATCCGTGGGGGGTGGGTAAGCGGAGCCTGGAGAGAATTCTTTAGAGAGTAGAGTGGGTGGGGAAAGCTGGTACAGTGCCAGCAGGGGCGTTAGTGACGCCTGTAGAGAAGCGAAGTGTTCCTTCAGTTTCCTGACGCACAAGCCCTCCCAGGACCTTCTCCCACAGGCCTCAAGCCTGTTTGGCAGCAACTCCTGCCCGCACCGAGCATGGCCCGGCTCACGTCCCCCACATCTGGACCCACTTCAACGTTTCCATGGCCGGTAGTAGAGGTGATTCAGTGTGGATTTCCCTGCTCCACCCTGCTCTGCAGACTCCAGGGCCTGCGTGCAGGGGAAAATGATCCTCCATCCTCCCTTCCCTCTGTGTCACACACCCAGCGTGTGTGACACGCTGTTACTGTATCCTGCTGCAGCCCAGGTGACATGGCTTCTGCCTTTGTCATCTATAACAGATGGGAGACCAAAGCCTTTGTGTGGTATGTGGGCCTAGCTCAGTCATTACTATAACCATGGATCTCAGTGATCTCTCACTCTGCGTCTCAGTTTCTTTACCAAGGCCAGCTTAGATCAAAGGCTTCAGTATCTGCCTTATAAGTTCCAAGAAGGCAGTGACCACATCTGTGCTGCATCCCTAAGTGGCTGAGCCAAGAGCAAACCTAGCTACTCAGGAAGCTGAGATCTGGAGGATACTGCTAATCCAGGCAGAAAAGTTTGCAAGGTTCCATTTCTAAAAGAACCAGTAAAAAGCTGGACTAGAGCTGGGCACTAGTGGCTCACACCTGTCATCCTAACTACTTAGGAGGCTGAGATCTAAGGATCGCGGTTCAAAGCCAGCCCAGGCTAGGAGACTCTTATCTCCAATAAACCACCAGAACACCACAAGTGGCACTGTGGCTCAAGAGGAAGAGCACTTGCCTTGAGCTGAAGAGGTCAGAGACAGTGTCCACACCCAGAATGCAAACCCCACAACTAACCAAAAAAAAGCTGGACTTGAGATGTGATTCAAGTGGTAGAATACCAGCTGAGCAAGCAAGCAGAGCAAGCTCGAAGCACTGAGTTCAAATACCCAAACCAGCAAAAGGTCTTAAGTAGCCACGTTCACATGTTAGTGCAATCTGGAGACTTTAGTCTTACCACTAATGATTAAAAGCAGGTGAGAGTGGGAAGTGGGCTTTTAAAAAATCAACTGTACATAGTACTGGCTTTCTTTCTATGCTTTTTTATGTTTTTTGTTGGTGGTGGTGGTTTGTTTTTTGTTGTTGGTGGTCGGTCATAGGGCTTGAACTCAGGGTGCTTTCCCTGAGCTTTTTTGCTCCAGGCTAGTGCTCTACCACTTCTAACCACAGCTCCATTTCTAATTTATAAGTAGTTAATTGGAGATAAGAGTCTCATGAATCTTCTACCTGGTCTGGCTTGAAACCTTGATCCTCAGATCTCAGCTTCCTGAGTAGCTATGATTACAGGTATGAGAAACCAGCACGCTGGGGCTGGAGCTTGAACTCAGGGCATCATGCTTTCACTGGCGCTCTACCACTTGAGCCACACCTATTCTTCCAACTTTTTGCTAGTAAGTTGGAGATAAAAGTCCCATGGACTTCTTGCCTAGGTGGACATTGAACCTTGGTCCTCAGATTTCAGCCTTCTAGGCAACTAGGATTATAGGCATGAGCCACTTGTGCCCAGCCCATATGTCCTTTCACAGAGAAAAAGGCTAGGTTAAATATGGAACCACCCATGCTAGCATACAATGCTGGTGATGGGGGCATGCTTATGAACTGTGAGGCATACTGGGGAAAAGACACTAAAGAGCCATACTTAAGAACCTGAGGGGTTTTCTGTGACTCTAGAGAGAAGGTACCCAAGCTTACCTGGTTTCTGAGCCACCCTGGGACCAGGGCCAGGGTGGAGGCTGGTTGTTATCACCTGCTGGGCCTTTACTACATCCCAGTCCTGGCTGGCCCTGTCATCATGCTGGGGCAAGCCTGGTGCCTTCCAGGAGCAGCCGGGTGTCTGGATGCTCAGAGCTCTGGGTGGCCTTGACATCCCTTGGATGGTCCTGCAGGCATCGTTGTCCTGGCTTCTTCTGGCCACTTCTTCTTCCAGGTCCATGAGACCCTCTCCCACCTCTCCCTGCAGGCCCTCCTCACTGCTGCTCTCCTCAGCCTCCAGAGCCAAACACCTGTAGCTGCCATCAGGGATTTGGAAGGAGCAAGAGGCAGACTTCCCCGCACTGGGCGCGAGGGGTGGGGGAGCGAAGTGAGGGCCCAGCATGCTGCTGCTCCCCTTGGCAAGGCAGAGGGATCTGTGCCAAGAAGCTGGGCACACTCTGGAAACACACTCTGCTGCCCTTACGGACCTCCTCTGGCTCTCTGAAGATCCACCTTCCTCCGCTGATTCACAGTTGAGGTGAGGTGAGGTCCACCGGACGACGGAATCCAAGTCGTTGTAGGGCTGGGTGGAGTGGTGAACCCCACGGCCTCTTCTCCACCTCTAGTGTGTGAGGTCCCTTCACAGGGAATCTGTCTGTACAAAGACAAAAGAAAAAGCACCAGACAACTCACTGAGTGCTCAGGGCTGAACTTCTCTGACCTGCCCATCCTGTGTGGCTCTGAGAGCTCCCTGAGATTTGGAAGGAAATCCCACACTTCCACAGAGTAGTATTTCTCGAGGCTCAGCCACACAATATCCTAAATTGCTTACGCTTATCCTTATGCTACCTGACACTTAGTTAATATTGTCCTTCAAGCCACTTTAAATAACTTACTTTTATTACTTGAGACTTACCTTAAGCAATAATTGCAAGAAAACCACAAGGATATTGTGTTCAGTCATTTCCTTCCTAATGCACATTAAGTAAGTATCTATTTAAAAACACTTATGTGGGCACCACCAAGAGCAAATTCTCTCACATTCCACCAAAGGCACAAATACCACAGGAATCACAGGCAGGTGGGGTGGTGAACGACAGACTGGGCTTGACTCCCCTGAAGAGACTATGAGAGCCCGGGCAGTGGTGTGCACACCTATGCAGGCTGCGTTAGAATCTCAGTGCTGCCACTGGTGTGGCAATCTCTAAACCCCCACTTCCTCATCTGTAAAACGAGCCCCTCTAATGGGAATCCAAAGCACTCCAACCTCCAGAACTTCTTGGAGCACCAACATGATGTGCCCCAAGTCCACATTTCCACCAGACTTCCTTAGACATAGACATAGTTAATACACAGACACATTAAAAACATTGGGTAAAATTACATTCTGACTATGTGCATAAGAAAATATATGTATATGCAGACATAAAAATTTATTTTGGGTTTAGACTTGGGTCCCATCCCAGAGATGTTATCATTATGTACATGTAAATATTCCAAAGTCTAAAAATCTCTAAAGTCTGAAACACTGCTGATCCATGAATTTCAGATAAGGGATAATCAACTAACAAAGCACTGTATTGAAGATTACATGAGAAGATGCATGCGAGGACTGTGAATGATCCTGAGCCTTAACTTAGTACGTGTTGGCTACTCTCTCATTCCACAAAAAAAGTGCCTATTCTATTTCAGATACCATAAAAATTAGAGGGGATGTAGTGAGGATAAAGATATGATACTTTGGCTTGTGAAATTTTAAAATCTGATGGGAAGAACTTTGAATGATAATGAGAACAGTAATAATAGTATGATTATTTATAAATGTTGAGAATGATGGTCAGGAGGAGGATGGTGGCTTCCTATAAGAGACAGCAAAGGGGAGGGTGGATGGGAGAGATACTTGGGCAGAAGAACTGGCTGGGCTTGGAGGCAGATGGAGAGTGGGTGTGGAGAAGCGGGGAGGAGTCTGGAATACTGCACAGGTTCCCAGCTCTGGTGACAGAGTAATTGTGTTAGTGAGTGATCAGAAGTAAATGGGAAGGAGAGGGTGTTGGGTGGTGTAGGAAGGTGAATTTGATTTTTGGATTTCCAAGGGAAGAAGATGAGCAATGGACAGGTCCATGCCAGTTTGGTGGTGGTGGGGGGGGAGGGGGGCGTGTTGTAGAGCAGGGGAAAATTCCAGGCTGGAGACAAAGGTTTGGAAAATGGGAAGACGGAGTTAGGTAGACAAGATCTCTGGGGTTGCACAGTAGCATTTAGGACCCATGGTCAAGTATGCTTGGGAGAAAACCTTGGAATAAACAGATCTTGTTTAAAGACTTCATTCCACCATTACTTAGCTGTGTGAGCTTCCTCAGTCTCACAAATTCTATTGCCAATTGGGAGAGAGGCACACAAGCACACTGGCTGCTCACAGCCAGGAAGTGTCCTGGGATCATGAAATCTGTGGACATTCATGCCCATGGGGCCTGAACTGACATCTTCATCCCAGACAAGGGACCAGGGGCCTGACTGAGGCGCTGGCTTGTGGCTGGGACTGTGCCAGGAAGAGTGTGGCAGGCAGGCAGAGAGACAGGCACATTACCAGGACCTAGGGCAAATCAGAGCCAATTAGGGGAAAGGCAAACACACATCAAGATCAGAAAGATAACCAGGCACCTGATAGAGTTGCCTGTTAAGCAGGGCTAGCAGAAGGAAGCTAGCCTGTGCCTAGAGGACAGAGACACTAAGTACTAAGCACCAATACTGAGCACCTACTCCATTCTGGGGTAGTCACTTAAGAGAGTGGTGTCAACTCTCACAACCATCTTAGGAGACAGGTCCTTTTGATGATCCCCTCTCAGAAACGAGGAAAATGAGGCTCTGCTAGGTCATGTGACAGTACAGCTAGTAAGGGACAGAACCGGGATCTCCATGATAATGGCAATTTGCCTTGTGAAAATTAAAATGTGTTTCTGACTCTTAAAAAAAAAAAAAAAAAGAACTGGGATCTGCACCCAGCCCAGACATCTTGGCCATGAGGCTGGACCTAGGGACACATAAGTGGCAGTGCCAGGCCCTCATTCCTTTCCAAAAGCCTTCATAGTCACCAGCCAGACTTCTGTCCCTTGAGTTTCAAAGGTCTTAGAATCTCACCACGGGCCAATGGGATTCTGAAGAGATCTAACCGTCCAGCGATGCGTGTGGCCCTGGGTAGGTACCTCCTGCCCTCTGTTGTCAAGTTGAGGCAGATGGTAGGGAAGGGATGATTGGACTCTGGGATCCAGAGATCTCATGATTCACAACTTAGAGCCACCGCCCCCAGCGCACCACACAGCCAGATGGCAGGAGGCAGAAGGAGTGGGCGTGGGGAGGGGGCAGGGCTCTGACTCCTGTGGGGGCCTCGCCTCACTCTAGCCCTGCTTCTGTTTTTCTGTATTTGACAGTGGCCACGGTTTCCAGGAAAGAAGAGAGAGGTGGAAAAGTTAACTTTCCGCCACCCACACAAATATTTTTGGCTGGCGGCTTGTCTTTAGGTTGCCAAGTGAGGAAGGAGGGGCTGGCAGGAGACACCAAGTTAAGGCTCCCTCCCAAGTAGGGAGGACGGCTCAACCCAGCCAGGGGGCTTGAGCAGGTCCTGGGCAGGCCTGAGTCCTGGACACCCACCTCGCTGCAGAGACACAGGGCTGGGAGGATGCAGTAACGGCAGTAGCTGCCACGTCATCGTCGTGAGCATCTGTTAAATGCTGGGTGGGGCCCTCAGCTACAAAACATTGCAGTCAGATGGGTGAAGGGAACACCGAGGCTCAGGGAGGGAAGCATCCTGTCCATTGTCTCTATGGTGAAGCAGGGAAGAGCCAAGGCTGCGGGGTCTGTGCCCTTATTCAGTGCTCATGGCAGCTGCAGCCTTAACTCCAGGGACTCTAAGGCCTCTGGGGATGCTGAGTTCAGATGGCAGACACATCTGTGTAGAAGGAGTCCTCTGAACCTCCAATTCCATTTCCGTCCACATTCACAACCCCCCCCCACACACACCACTTCCCCATCTGCCCAAAGGTACTGAACCTTGGCAGGTGGGTCTATTAGAGCCCCCTAAGCCTTCTCTTCTCATCCCAGAGGGCAACTTGGGGCCTACATTGGGTGACATTACATCAATTGGAGTCCAGGTTTCCAGACACAACCAGTTCCAATATATGAGGCCAGATAAGGGCCATGTACTGGTGGCTCATGCCTGTAATCCTAGCTACTCAGTAGGCTGAGATCTAAAGATCTTAGTTCAAAGCCAGCCTGGGCAGGAAAGTCCATGAGAATCATATCTCCAATAAACCAGTAAAAAGCTGGGAACGAAGGTGTGGTTCAAGCGGGAAAGCATCAGCATTGAGTGAAAAAGCTAAGGGACAGTGCCCAGGCTCTGAGTTCAAGCCCCAGTAATAACACAGGGAAAAAAAAGTCAGATGCCCTGTGGTATGAAGGCCCATCCAGACATCCCCAGGATCCTTCTGTTGCTGGCTTCTAATGAGCATGCCCCAGAAATGCAGGCCTTCATTTCCCTTCTGCAGCTCCGTATGTAATCAAGGAAAGGCACTGTCTTGGAATCAGAACCAGATTTGAATTCTGACTCTACTTCCCAGCCTACTACTCCCTCAGGATGGCTCTTGGCCTGGGAAAGTCTCTATTTTGCTGAACTTCCGTGACAATGCCAAACAAGGCTTGAAACAAAACCCACATCTCAGGGCTGCTGTGGATATTGCACAGAAAGCCCAGAGACTGCCTGCTTCACAGAGCAAGAGGCACCTTGTGTGAAACTCTCCTGCTGGGCTCTGCTGGCACTAGGCAGGCCTGGCATTGGGACCCAGTGCTTGGTGCACACAGGCTACAGTCAGTGGAAGGCACAGTTCAGTCTCACTGGGTTATGCTAGGAAAATCACATGATCTGTGGAGGGTTTTGGTTTGGTTTGGTTTGTTTTCCTGAGATAAGTTCTCCCTATGTGGCCAAGACTAGCCTCCAACTTGTGATCATCCTGTTTGTATCTCCCAAATTCTGGGATTAAAGACATGTGTCACCATACCTGGCTCACACAATCTGATTCTATGAGTGGAAGACAAAAGTAGGCTGGTGAGAAGTAGCACTGAAGACTCATTCCTCCAAAGCCTTCTGCTAGATGTGTTCCTACATGATCTCCCCCTACCTGCAGTCAGTTCCTAGTCCTTGACTATATGATGTCCAGTCCATTTTCACAAAGTGCAGCTCAAAATGTGCTGATCTCCTGCTCAAGAGTATTCCATGCCAGGTGCCAGTGGCTCATGCCTGTAATCTTAGCTACTCAGGAGGCCAAAATCTGAGGATCACGGCTCAAAGCCAGCCTGGGCAGGAAAGTCCATAAGGCATTCTCTCTCTCTCTCTCTCTCTCTCTTCTCACTCTC